TTTATTACGTGGGCAACATTTTATTGGTATAGTTATGATAGTTAGACATGTTCAACAATAAATAACATTTGAGTATATCTATATAAAATATGTCTGTAACACATATTCCATTTGAGTAATAAGAATATTTTGTTTACTGAATCAACTTCATTGTTTGGGTTTATCTTTAATAGTCCAGTAGTAAATTTGTATGAACTGATTAAATCTGCCCAAACTAAATCATCAAATCGAAATATTCTTATTCTATTATCATCTTAAATCATACGACTAGTTAGTCTAAATGATATAGATATATTGAAGTTAAGGGAAACTGTATAACTATGCCGCCCTAATGTGAGACTTTACTACAGTATACACCTACATTTTTATGGGTGGTTGAACCTAAAACATTCAGGCCTAATGAAGATTACAATAACTTTAGACCATTAGATTAAAACTCTATAAAATACATTTGTTTTTTAAAGTCCACTGGGAATATAGATAGCATGAACCATTGAAATCCGTTTTACTGATTTGAAAGTATTTAGCTCTTCACAATAATTTAAGGTTCTAAGTTCGACCTCAGGTAAAGTCGTTGGTCTATACTTTGGAATAGTGTCAAACTAAGATCAAAAAGTTGTCCAGTGCTTTCATTTGCTCCGTAGTTCTCTAGTTGATATCAGTCTATGATTTGAAAAAAAACTTCAGAATCAATTATCTCGTCAAAACTCCCACCTTAACATACAAATTGTAATAGCCTGGTAAACATTCATGTACTACGGATTGAACCATAGCCAACGGCGATATCCATAAACAATTTATTTCAAGTGAAGCAGCTATCGAACAACGAATCCATAAACTGAAATTCTAGTCTTCTCATTAAAAAATCACCTCCCTAAATTCAGAAAATCTGTACAAGTTCATTTATTTAGCTTTATTGATACCGGGCATATTAGTGATATTCCACAGTCCTTTGAAATTATCAGCATTTAAAAAGACGTGTTTCTCCGGTTTGCCAAAGTGGTAGCAATAAAGAAACTCAAATCTGATTAATGTATCCAGAAAGAGATAGTAATCAACTTATCACTAATTTGGCCAATTAGTTTTGCTTTTGTCATTATTATGATTCTTTTATTGGTGCTCATTATGTTATGTGGTCTTCACAAAACTAGTTCTTATTTAACATACACCAAAATCATCCCTTCGTTCATAGGTCTTTTTTATTTCATTCAGTTAATTCTCCAAACTTATGGAAACTCTTCAAAAATCCTCTTTATTTATTACTCAAATCATATTGTCGAATTCTCAATCTAGACAACTACGGGAAACAGATAGATCCTGGGTTCGAATCTCACGAGGCGGGTTCGTGGATGCGCATTGCTGCAAAGTTCCATACAAGGATGAAATAATCGTCTAGTGCTCCCAGGTTTTCCATAGTGGTCTAGCTTCAACTGACTTATGATCTCAACCATTAAAAAATATACGTTAATAGATCGGTGAGACTTTTGTTAAATTTATTAATCATTCTTAAACAAAATCATCTGTGACATAGTGATATAATGTGTGAATAAATTCAATGATTAAATAGGTACTTTATTGATATAGAGTAATGATCACATTGTTGAACTCAATCTTACAGTATTACCGTCCACTGTACAATATTTATATCACACGTTACATGTATAGATATTAAGTGAATAAAGATAAGGCTTTAAATAAAAATAATATATTTGTAATATCCCAATGAGTAGAAAATTGGATTTTCTGACGTTTCGTGACTTAGTGTAAGTCACTTCTTCAGAGAATAAATAACCAAATTCAAAAAAAGATAAGGCTTATTATTATTATTGCTAAATACTCCACTACTTAAAAGTCGTTTAGTTTATCCTGATTTATCTTGTTCAGTATGTTCAGTATTAGTACAAATGATTTTGACATAGCGCATTTATTTTATTTTGGTGATTGTGGAAAATTCATGCCCTAATTGTTTTGTTTATACAATGATATGATTTGTTTGATTAGTCTAAACTAATGTTGAATACTTACAGTATCGATCTGGCTTGTTTCTCAAACATGTAATATCACAGTTAACAGTTACTTTATTGTTGTTCTAATTTTAATGTTATTCATACGATTGTATTTCATATAGTCTTGGAAACTTACAAATTTATCTAAATGTATCATCTGAAATGAATCTCATTTGATTCTATTCAAGTACTCAGTCATGCTTATACATATTTCTATTTTAATCTTTATTTTCACTCTGAAATAATTAAAATTCTCCAATCGATAACGTACCGCCGCCCTGGTACGGTCGAGAGTGGAGAGTGTCAGCTTTCTCTCTCCAATTGCTCTCACATGACCACGCATATACAGCCTCTGTCAGGGAAGTCCTATTCACTGCCTTCTCGTGGCATTACTGTTGTTTACAAAATTGAGAGGACGAAAAGCGAATGTTCGGCACATTAACCAGGTTGGAGGACACGAAGAGTCTACCCAGGGGAGTTGGAAAACCCTGATTCAAAACCAATGGTGCACATGGGCTACAGTATCCACAAGGAGCAAATGGAGTATGAATCCATTGTCGTTGCTCCACTGTCTTATGGATCAGACCTTGAGGTCGGAGGCTCGAGGTGTGGTCCTCTAATGAAACCACCTGATTTAGTTTGGGCACCCGGACAGTATCCCAACCCTCAAACAACTTGAATGATTTATGTGGTACATATCTATTTGGTGCCTCCTTGTACCAATGTTTGTGTGTTTAAATAAATAAATAAAACGAAAGATCTAGGATACACCCGTAATTTACAGTTTACATAAAACGTTCACTATGTATATGCATACATGATGTTGCAAAATGAATCTTTGTCCATTATGTTTTATAATAAGCGTTTAATATTCTATAGCTTGTAGTGTGGCGTCGAGTCGCGGTTGACTATGATCACCACTACACGAAGACTATATGCCAGTTAACTGATAACATCCTCCGTAGGCCAAATATCAAAAGGCAGTTAGTGGCTGTAGTCGAGATGTATTTGTTGGCTATCTCGTGGTACCGGAAGAATACCGAGATCGTACCAAAGGATTACAAGTGTGGTCACTGAGCGTAACCGAATTCGTGAAAGGTCACAATCAACGGAAGGAAGAATGTCTTTAGTACGGTTAAACAAACAAGTACAGTAAAACAGTCCCTGGTACAATTGGTTATAATAATTATTGTTTCCATTACACCAATCGCGTTCTGTTGATAAAAGTGGGTCACTACAAGCTAATCACAGTTCAATGGTTAATGCTTTTAAGCTATAGCTGGATTATGCATATACTTTGGAGAATTGAAAATCATTTGAAATGGTGGAAAACAATTCATATGCCATTTGTTTTCTTTCGAACTGTGAATGTCTTTTTTTACCTCTTGACTTTCCAGCTCCAGTTATCCATCAATATTGTTGATATCATTCTAGTTTTGATTAGTTTATAATTGTATATCAGGGATAGATTCTAATTAGATAATCATTGAAAGCCACAAAAGACTTAGTAGCTGTTCCATCCTGATATGGGACTCGTTAATAAAATACACTCACAGCCCATATCAGCAGAGATTGAGCCTTAGACATTTAGGTTTTATAGTAACCGTCATCATTGGTGCCCGACGTTACTAGATACCATTGGTTACAATTTTGCATTGAAAATTAGGGAATGCGTCCTATTGCTGGTCACTGGTGAAAGTATTATTATTATTATCAGAATAGAGTTCGTGGACACATTTCTGTGTCGGTAATGATGATTCCGTCAATTTCTACTTAACATATTACGTTCAACGTCACAAGTTGAAATCACCACATGAATATAACAGGTGTTACTTTAACACAGTTCACCAGTCCCTTATATCACATATGTTGCAAACTTGCAGAATGCCACAAAGACATATTGGTCACGTACAGTATTGTCTTTCAACAAATTTACATGACCATAAAGTTCTGGGAAAGAGAGAGAGAGGGTGAGAAATACAAACGAACCTTGCATTAAGATACTAATTTTATTTTAAAACTGACACCCAATAACCAACGATACATACTTACACTTACACTAGCACACATACATAGAAACACACTTATAATCACTGAAAGACAACATCTAAAAGATTAGTTTCTAATGTGTTTGTTTGTTTATCTATTTATGAAATGAATAAAAGACAGATATAATAAATTAAGAATATTCTTTTCCATAAATTCTCTTCAGAAACATGTATTTCACCTTAAACCTGACACATTTTGGGGATTATTCATGCCGATATAGAATTGCAGAACTTGAAGAGAATTCAATAAAAATAATATTCTTCATTCATGTGTATCTTTTAAATATTAATAGTTGAGATCATGAGTCAATTGAAACTCGACAACCACTATGGAAATCCTGGAAGCACTGGACGGCCGTTTTGTCCCAGTGTGTGTCTCCTCAGCGGTGCTTATCCACGATTCCGCCTCGCGATTTTTGTAACCAGGACTTATCAGCCTCGTGCGTGAGCGCGTGAGCGCTTAACCACTAGACCATTGAGCTGGCCGGCATCTAACGGTATTAATGTCTAACTTCAACTAATTCATGAAATCGAGTGACACATCCACCATTGTCATTGGTGAGTTACCATCCCACAACAAACCCGGTTGAACTCCACTGGTCACTGCCTCTCAGTAGAACTTCAGGAAATACCTCTTGAAGCCAGTCGCTTTTGAGTATGTTAATTAATATCAGAAGGGGTTTTGTGGATATTATAATAATTTTAATAGTTGAGATCATGAGTCAATTGAAGCTAGACCACCTGGGTTCAAATGTCGCGAGGCGAGATCGTGAATGCGCACTGTTGAGGAGTCCCACAATAGGATGAAACGGCCATCCAGTGCTTCTAGATTTTCCATGGTAGTGGTCTAGTTTTAATTGACTCATGATCTCAACTATTAAAATTACCACAATATCGACAAAACCCCCTTCTAATCTTTCAAATATGATAAGAATTTTCAAATGACTGACATTAATAAATCTGTTTTATTCAATTCTGAAAGGGAGAAATGAATAAGAAGTCACAAAGTTGATACATGACAAACAAGAATAAAGATGATAATCACATACATGAATGGTGATGAAACCATTTACAAACAATTTTCGAAAGACATAACAAATAATAATAATAAAATACATATTACATCTTGTGAATGGAATAATAAATCGATAGATAGATAGATAGATAGATAGATAGACAAACAAACAGACAGACAGATAGATAGATAGACAGACAATTAGTCACAAAAACTATGACATATGTAATTAATGACGTAATGTATGTATTTCTTTGTTGCATTACTCTTAAAAAAAGTAGGAAAGGCAATAGTTACTAATACAATTGTTATCATGAAGATGTACTTCTGTACTTCTTTTTATTTTTCTCTAAAGAAAGAATTATTTTACAACAGTTAAGATGATATAGACTGATTGCATTATATAATTGAATATGAGTACTATCAAATATGTATGTCATAAAATAGACAACATTGATGATACAATGTTCCGAAATAAAATAAGATGAATTTGCTTAAATCCATGTTTCCATGGGTTTCTATGTTTATTTAATGATCTTCTTTTTCAAGCATTAAATCGTTTAGTTTCATGTTGTTTCTTGACTATACCTAATTTTGGTGCAATATTTATAGTAGAATCAGATAGATGAGCATAAGGTGGTTGTTGTGTACCATGAATAACAAGTATCCATTCAGTTAATATTCCATAACCTAATGGATCTTTAGAATTTGAATCTAATCCAATTGTAAGTAACCATTTTCCACGAGGATTTTCACTCCACATATGTGTAGTCATAAATGGCCATTTAGTAAAACCTCTTGTATTATCAGCATCTTTTGGTCGACGTCTTAATAGCATTGATGTAGTATTCATTGGTGAAGTAAGGAATAAAGTTATATCACCACGACGTGTTGCTTTAATTGTTATAAAAGCTTGAACATGTTCCAAATAATTAACCTAATATTATAGAATAAAGTAGATAAGAAAAAAAAAGTGAAGAAAACGATCTAAACTTATGCAGAAAATAACTCAATGATTATCTTGAGGAGTTTTAGTGAAATGATGATTTTCTAAAAGTATATCATCATTGAAAAGTGTTGTGAAATCGAATCTTTGGTAAGACTATAATTTATGAACGAAACAATCAGATATAAGATAACAGGTTTCGGGGTTTTGGTGCAAAATTCATTCATTTATTTGGCTAAATAGCGTTTTGGCGTTATAGTTTATATCAGTTCGTGATGAAAACCCTAAATCTAATTCGTAATCTTAACCATCAAATGTAAATCATAATCCTTATTCTTCAAACTGTATTATAACCTTCATTTGGTTCTAGTTATCAGGTGGGCACTCTCAAGGTCGCTCAGACTTACTTACTTATGCCTTTTACTCCTCGTGCAGGAGAATAGTCCACCCACCAGCGCTCTCCATCCAACCTTGTCTTGGGCAATCCTTTCCAGCTCCTTCCAGTTGCTATTCATCCTTTCCATATCTGCTTCTGTTTCCCGACGTAATATGTTCTTTGACCTTCCTCGTTTCCGGTTCCCTTCAGGATTCCAAGTTGGGGCTTGTCTCGTGATGCAGTTTAGTGATTTGCGTAATGTATGTCATATCCATTTCCATCGTCTTTTCCTCATATTCTCTTAAGCTGGAAGCTGGATTGCTCTCTCCTACAGTAGGCTGTTGCTGATGGTATCCGACCAGTGGATGTTGAGTATCTTGTATAGACAACTATTTATATATACTTGTACCTATTTGATGATGGTTGTAGTAGTTCTTCAAATTTCAGCTCCGTACAATAGAACTGTTTTGACGTTCATATTGAAGATTCTGACTTCGATATTGTTTGACAGTTGTTTTGCGTTTGTCGTCCATAAATTATAGTCTCAAGGAATCTTTTATATGTCCGCTTGGTCAGATCAAGAGATAATAAGAGTACACTAATAACTAGTTTGATTAGTCTTTATCAAAGCAACTATCTTCCTTTTTTCATATAAAAATAGTTGATCTCTGACAATGGACTGAAATCCGAATTTTCATTGTCTACTCAGTTTGCCTTATTCCTTGTAACCAATCAGTAGACAGATATAACACGTCAATGAACCTTTTAGGGTTTAAAGACTCCAATGTTTATAAATATCAATTACATGATGGAAACGCATTATAAGTAAAAAATCTTAGTTTATTCACAACTACATCATAAGCGATACACAACTGAATGACAGTTGTATAACTTGGCTAACAATAATTATGGCAAAACATATATCAACGGTAAATAAATTAGATGAAAGCTTATACATTGAATAATATGAAAATACCATAAAATATATGTTTAAACTCTACTCAATGAAAACAGATATAATAATTAACCCTGTAATGGTATAAAAAGCTTCATGTTCTTCAACTATTCACACTTATCGAACAGAAATTATGTTAAAGTCAAAGCCAAATAAATGGTACCTGTGCTTAAAGTTCGATTATCTATTTGACGTTGATAGTATACACGATCGGACGGCTTTTAATCATGAGATACTTTATTGGCACTTGAACTTAAACTGAGATAGAGATTTTTAAGTTTCACTATGATAGCTGGTCATTTCGCACTTTCAATGAAATTATATCAGAAATGTAAGGAGTTTGTGGAGACGGTTTTCTTAGTTTACATCACGAATTAACCCTAGTTAGATGACAACAGAAAGGCTTGAAGCACGGAACAACTGATTCGTCCTTGTCAGTTCACGCTATAGACTATTAAAATTGGATTACCGGAGGATAGATGTTTGTAGCACAGGTTATTAATCTTTGAATATGTGACTAATTGACCCTAACTGTATACGGAAACAAATTTGACTGAGAACATTTCAAAGTTGTAGATTAAAGAAACTTTAAAAATCCTAGGGACATTTTAGAAGCACAATATTCAAGACCATCTCCAATCGGAATAGCCACGTTTACATCCAGTGAACGATACATTAAGGTGAAACTATAATTTATGGATGACCTTTGTAAGATGCTAAAATGATCTTGAGACAACTTACCTACTTACTAGGTTCAAAAGAGGGCTATATATCACTGTAAGGAATTAAGATTTAGATTAAGGATTTTCATCACGAACTAACATCAGCTATAATGCCAAAATCCTATTTAGCAATATAGATGAATGAATTTCGGGCCCAATTCCAAGACATGGTATCCTCGACTTCATTGGTTCGTCTATGAGTTATAATCTGGCCAAAATATTACTCGTCCTTGATATTGGGACTGGACGAAACGCAGGATAATGGTTTAATTCATTGTGACATTTCTATAGTGTTACATATTTTTTAATGTATTAAAATATTTGTATCCTATTTGTACAGTACAACATTAATTTGTATGAATTAAGGGGGATATCAATTCAATATCACAATTAGTATTTGCCTATATTAATTCACTATAATATTTACTCAGTATAATATCGATTTGCACAATTATAGCATAGTATCCAGTTGTACTGTCACAATTCCAATGTCATGTATGATATTCATTAACTAACCTTCAAATGCCAGTGAAATAGTCTTATATATATACCCTTGTGGGTCAAGGTAATTTTTAATTGGTTTTCAGGAGAACCAGACAGCAGCCCGACTTTCACATGACAACACAAACAGTAGAACTCAATCCCGTTTAACAGGAGAGCCAGATAACGCTACAATCTGAATAGTACAGCTCAATCCTGTGGCGTAACCACGCAGGTACCAAGACCCCTTGTGGACTAAAATGCCAGTGAAACCTGTTTATAAACGAGTGTATTCAATTAATAACTTGTTATCATGTTTTTGGCGGATAAATAAAACCTACCGATAAAATCAATGTTTCTCTTCTACCTTGTATTCGGCAAATCTCAGTGTTTTTTTTTGTTTTAATTAACATGAATTTATAAGATTATAGAGTTTTAATAAAACTATGGCTTAAGAATGTTTGGTATTAGGGTTAAACTTGAGATAACTAGTAATATACTATGAAGAAATTTAAGCCATTGAAAATTAGTTAGCTTTAACGCCATGATAAAGAGAAAGAACTTAATGTTACCTAACTTTACTGAAGTTTTCCAGTTAAAAAGAAAACACTTCTGTAGTATAAACTAACAGAAGATGAACGTAATGAAAATAGGAATGAGTACACTCATTATTAAAGAAATGTTCAGATGATATGGATGTGAAGTTGATGAAAGCTTAAAACCAATGGAAGTGCACACTTCCTTTCGAAAAATCTATCATTAACTACTCTAATATAACTTTATTTACAGTTACAATAATTGTCTTTAGGTCCGAAATTCTGTGACACACAAAAATCTCAATGAACTTAACATTAAAATCCATTTTGAAAGCCTGATCCATCAGCCAAAAGATCTTATCCCTGTATCCAACAGACAACTTGAATAAATCTAAAGAGCTATTGTAAACTGTTTTAAAATATATACCAATACAAGGTCAACAACTAAATGACTACTTTATCAAGAACATAGATCCCAACAACTGGATCTACTGAGAAACGAAGATATAGTGTTAAGTCTTCCAGACAAAGATTCTGCCATTGATATCATAAATCGAAAGGACTATGTTTCAAAAGTGTCTCTCATTCTATCCGATACCGACAAATTCCTTAAAGATGCTATAGAACTAAGAGAGCAGAAATCAACCAAAATCTCTAAGAAAAGGATAGATGAATTCATTATCACTGGTAACCTCTATAGAAACAATAGATCAACTGGATCCGTTATTCCACGATCATATGGTTGTTGGGGATGTTAGATCCCCAGAAATCACTTGATAAACATTTTCTTCTTGTTGTAATTTAATTGAAGAAATCTGAATTTCTCATTTTTACTCCAAAAGCTCCCATCGTTACCTTCAATTTGTGCTTCCTACCTGTAGGGATCCTAAACATCATTGGTTTGTTTTCTCTTCTAGTGCGTAATTTTGTGTCACTTTTCAAGGACATTTTTGTAAAGTATATATTATGCATGAGTTAAGTACTTTTTATTCGTTCTTCCAAGCTGTCTGTGGAATCATTTTTCCAATACTGACTCTGGTTTTCTTCTTCCAGTTAGCTGGGCTGGGGGCAATGGAATAACTTAGCTTAGTATTGTCGTTGCTTTCCTGGTTAGCGTTCCGTTTGTCGGTACCAAGATGATATCATAATATCTTGAACATAGTAATGGCCTTCTTAAAGTAGAAAGATATCCATCTATATTCTACAATAAATATGAATAACTCGCCATATCGTGCTATTGTTAAATTACTAGCTAAAATTTTACGACCAGTCAGTAACGAACTCAATAAATACACAAATGCTGGTTCATTTGATATTGCTGATTTGATATCAAGTGGCAGTGTAACCGGAAACAGTCTGCCTAATATATGATTATACTGAAAACAAAAAACTCGATATCAGTGCTTCGATACACTATTTGAAGGGACTACTTGTCCAATGCCTTTTCAATGTCCAATTTGAGTTTACTAGTGAGTTCTATGGACAAAATGACGGCGTAGCGGTGGATTCACCACTCGATTCACTTTTATCTGACTCAATAGTTAGGTAAATAAATGGCAGCTTCCATATATATAGGAGATATTTAGATGATACTTTCATTATTTGTAATAAAAATATCAATGTTAACGACATTCTGGATATGTTCAGTAACTGTCACCAATCAATTAAGTTCACAATTAAACCAGAGTCGGATTCAGAGTCTGACATCTAAGACTTTTTGTTAAAAAGGGGATCTGATGGTTCTCTAAAAAGATCGGGGTATAAAAAGCTAACTGAGAATGGTTAATGCACGGAATTTCAAGACTGAGTCAAGAACTGACTCATCTTCTTTGCATGAGGATCGGACGAATCAGTATCGAAGATACAATCGATGTTGAACTTGATAAACTACGGCAGATATTGATCAGAATTGGATTCACTGA